CGCTCTTTCCTCTCGCAGCAGCGTCTACGCGTCTCTTCCCTGGTCGCTAATTTACGTTCGGTCGACGTGCATGGGACACCTGTCGCAGTTTGTCCGCCTCTATTGGCGTTATATGTTACTGCTTCGCTATTTTCGTGCCATGCTTAACACAGAGGGGTGACATCACGAGTTCAAGGGTGGCTGGGACACAGAGTGCGGGAACGAAGAGAAGTTCAAACTTTTCCCTCGAAATTTCCACCTCGAGGAGGTCGCGCGGACAACGAAGAGAGGAGATCGGTCATGAGACAGAGATAGACAGAGATAGAAAGAGACAGAAAGAAAGAGAGTGAGAGAGCTCGCGGAGAAAGACGTTGCGAGGCAGACAAATGGCCAGAAATGGACGAAAGAGAAGGGAACAAATGGGCTAGTAAGACGTGTAAGAGCAACGGCCGAGCGGCGGACAGAGAGCAAGGGTGAAGTAGTTACGGGGATCGAGAAGAAGCTTCCTCGAAGCTGGTGTTACGTCTGCGAAAGCTCACCGTAGGAGACGCGTGATTAGCGCGCCGTGTCTCTCCGTTTCCACATGGACCGACTACGCGCGGACCTGTTTCACTCGGACGGACGTTCCCGTTTCGACGCCGACGCTGTCGATATCGCTCGACTCCAAGACTCGACTTCGCGTAAAGAGATCGCGGCGGTGCGATTAACGAACAAACGAAAGAAACGCGAACGGAAAGAGCAGGAGGTAGCTACGAAACGAGGTAACAAATCGAAACGAGATGGGATCGTCGTCGATGACCACCGGAAAAGTCTCAAGGCTAGTTTCGAGGTCTCGCGAACCGGGGGGACGAGCGGAACGATAGGTGGCACGATTCCCAGCCCCGGTCTCGAAATTCCACCCACCCATTGGGCCCCTGGATACGCGTAGAGGCACACGGTCGAAAGCTCCATTTCGATCTTCTTCGTTCATCGTCGCTGGGCCGGGGATTTTCATTTCCACAGGCCGAATCCGACATGAAGGGCGCTTGACCCCGAAAACTTTGCCCGCAACTGCCTCCAATCAACCGGTTCGATTTAGATCAGCCGATACCGACCAATGCACGCGTTCATTTTCCAAACGTTTCCTATTAATTGCTCTATCCCGCGCCTGTGTATATCTATGCGTGCACGGTGAACCGCGATGCGGTTCGCTCGCATATCGTTCGCAATCGATACGCTCCCGTTACCCCTGCCTAATATTAACAATGACATTTTACCCCGTTCCGCGACCGCACGATTAATCTTAAATTACGATCGATCCGATGGGCCGCCGATTTAAACGCTTCCGTCGGAATTGAAACCCGACACTTACAGTTCTCTCGCGCGATCGCAACCCCTGGCGCGGGGGTGATTTTCCAGCGGGACCGTGGCCAACAGCTTCGACCCCGCGATACGAGCTGGTTAATAACGAATTTACTAGGCCGATCGTCTTCTTTCACCGATTCGTTCAAATTTTCATTTCCCTCCGTTCTCGTCCAACCCGATCGATCCGATTCGATGCACGGTTTAACGATTTGTACAGACAACGAGGAAGAACGAGACGGAGAGGGGGTGGGGGCAATTGAAATTGATTAATCGATTAGCGGAAGCAATTTTAAAGCGTTTCGCGGATCGCAAAGGCTTGGAAAGAAAATTCCGTACCAGCGTAGCTGTGTTTGCTATTGACAGTCGAAGGCACGCAAGCTGCTATCGAACGCAGACGGTAAGAAACACGGGATCGGGGTTCAACGTCGTAACTTTCTCCGTGCATCAGCTTCTCATTATCTTGTCCTACTTTGCCCGATTCAATTTTTTCCGCCCGCATTTTTGCGCCCGGAACCTACGCGTGTTTGCCTGGACGAACATCGCGGACGCGGGTACGGATCGCTGCGTTTGAAATTCGCTATGCAAATTGACTTGAGAAAAACCTCGTCTTCAAAACACCACTATTTTTCACGCCGGCGTGTTCCAGCTTAAAAACATATTTTCCGAGACATCTGCGCGAGCACCGACGAATAAACACGCTCGAAGCTTGAACTCACGCGATCCTGAAATTTTAACGAATCAACGAAACACTCTCGCAGACAAATTACAAATATCCCGAACTGTACCCTGCGTGATAACGAAGGGAGAAAAATTGTGCGTGAATTTGAGAAAGGGGAAATTTTCGCGACGCCGAATCGATCTCTGGAAAAAGGGGCGCTCGGTAAACACGGAACGGGGTAAGAATTTGGCGAAGCGAGTCGGCGCCTCCTTATCGTTAGCTTAAATCTTAACGTCGACGGGATAATATCGATACGATAATTTATAGCGATTTTGTACAACGTTCGCCACTCCTTTCGCGTCGAGCGAGTCCCGGGCTATCGGCGCAGCGGCGATCGAAACTTCGAGCCGGAAGTGCCGGATCGCCGGAGCCCGAGCAAACGTTGCTGAATAATATACAACGTCGTTCGCAGTAGACGTGGGGGTGCACGGCCATATCGTCCTTGACGGGACACAGGCCCGTGACGTCGGACCACTCGTGTCCCCGAGTGTCCTGTCATCGAAAGCGGAACTCCGTCGCGCGACCGGATATCCAAGCAGCCTCCGCGTCTCACGGACGCGCCAGCCTGATCGAAACGTTCGATCGACGAGCGCGGTTCTCGATCCTCGAAAAATCGGAGAGATCGATCGCGCCCGTCGCGCAGCGTGCACGCGATCAGGCACAGCCGATCTCGCGACGGTGATCTCGAAGGAACGCGAGGATCCGCTTTCGAATTGGCCGGCCTTGCGAAATTGTCTAACTCCGAGCCCGACTTAGACTCGAGTACTCGCGGAGCCATTGTTCTCGGGAATGAATTTCACCCGGAAGCCCATGGTCCCGGAACAAAGGCTCCGTCCTCTTCGAGACCTTTGTGCGCGCGAGGTCCGTACTCGCTCTCTCTCCTTCGGACCGAGCCTAATTTACCAACGGCGTTAGCTCGTCCTGCTTTGCTCCACGCCCACGCGTGTACCCGCTCGATTCTCGCGTTGGATCGACGACGCAGAGACGACGACGACGACGACGACGATGAGCAGGACAACGAGTAGCGACAGCGAGAGCACGGTTAGTAAAATGGTGTAGCAATGGGGCGGGGTGGTGGTTAGAGATATGTGCGCATAGCTCCAAGTCGAATTATTGTTAGATACACGTATAATTAGTTAGTTCACAGAGGCATGGCGTTGTAGAGGTCCTAAGAGCGGTGTAGGGGTAGGCGGGTTATGGTGGGGTGCAGGCTGCGCCTGTATCAGGTTCAAGTTCAGGTTCAAGGGCGCGATATGGGCCGCATTATGGTGGTTAAGGTGGTTAAGGCTAAGGTGGTTACCTGTCGGGTAGGGCAGTCCGAAACTAGGGTACCCAGAATAGCTGCGGCTTGCCGCGTATGCCGCGTACGCCGCCACTGGGAAACCTGTGAACAGAGCAAAAGAGTCCGTGAGCTTTTCTTCCCTGTGCGGTTAACTGAGCTCGGCAACTTTCGAGGGTGTAGCAGGGGTTAGACGGAGTGTTAGACGCTTCGTGTGAATCGCAGCGATACGCGTGACTGCGTGTCGTGTACCAGAGCTACGATCTTTCACTCGCCTATCTCGTATTAAGGAAGCTTAACCCTCCGCTACTGGACGAGGCGAGAGTCCGTTGAACTTGCATTCGCGCGATGCCATTCGCGACTGCTTCTACGTGACCATCGATACCGATTCATGCGACAGTGCCAGTAGTGGAGGGTTAAGCGCGTCAACTACACGATTAGCGTCCTCCGTGATGAATCTCTAACTTTGCTTACTCGTTATTCTCTTTTACTGCCATTGTAATATCGTTACCGATACGTTCATACTTCGACGTAGCTACTGTATATACAGTCGTGAATGTGAACGAGTGTTCAACTGAGAGTTTACGAGTAACCATACTACCAAGGCTTCTCTAACGCTCTGCACGATGTTGCAGCGAAAAGTTCTAAAAATGATATCGTGAGAGGAAGATCGAAAGTATCAAGATTCAATCGGTTACGTCTATCTACGAGTACGACCTCTATCAACTACGATCTACATGCTCCCTTCTGGAAATTATATTACATAAAACATTTCCCATGTACGTACCGTGTTACGCTACAGAGAACATTTTCAATTTGGAAAGGCTATGAAACGATCGGTCGAAACGATTTCCGCGAGCAACGGATCCTTACTTGGCCGCTTTTAATATTCCCGTTCGATTCGGGCGAAATTAATGCGTCGCGATATTCCTCGCGCGTTTCTCGGACGTAATATCGAATGACGCGTGACGGGCTACGCGTTAACCGAGTAATTACGCTAATGAATCGGCGTATTTTCACAAAGGCGGAAGTTTACATGGCGCGCGGAGCGAAACGACTGCGCGATTTGCCCGTGTATATACGGTAACCGTGAATCATGCATGAGCCAGGCGACTGCGAAACGGAAACGCGCAAGTAGCAAATAGAGAAATTCGACCCGGCATCGTGATTGATCGGACGCGTGAATATTACAACGCTGGTCTTACGTCAAACGTGATTGAACGTCGTTACGGTACGGTAGGCATGTCGCCGGGCATTTCGAGTCGTTTTGTTGTACATGTTCGTGCATATTTCATACTCACCATCAGGTAATGCTCCCAGGGACCACATAAAATCTATAAGGAAAAACAGATCACATTAATACCGCGTCGAGAATTGCTCAGAGCTGAGTAATAATTTTGTCTCTTCAAACTTTGTCATTCTTTTCCCTTCATTTACTCTTTTCAATTGCTTCGATTGGTTAGTGCAATGGTATCGTAAGTCTGAATATATAGAAATTTCTGCAACTAAGCACGAAGAAAAGTACTGGGCGGGTTCTGGTCTGTTCTAGAGATGGAGATCCTCGATCGGGTCTAAAAGGCTGAAACTCGCGACTAGAGCTATGGCGAACTTCGACTCGAGGTATATTATCTAGCCGACGACACTCGTTGTGCAATATTTTTCTTCGTGCAGGCAAAGGTATGCGTAGACAATTAAGATATGTACATGGAGACAAGTTAAGTATAAAGCGAAGCGTTGCAGAAATTCGTCGGAATAGACGGTTCGAGTGTAACGGATGACTAGGTTTCAAACAATGAGAGAAGGGTTAAAACGTAAAGACAACAGAACGGAATCAGAAAAAAATGAAATAAAATAAAATAGAATGAAATAAAAGAAAGATACAAAAATATGAAAAAAAGTAAGATAAAAATATATTCGAGGGAAAAAAGAAAAACAGAACAGACCGAAACGAGAAATCGGATTAAAAGCGTTCTAGGTTAAACAGAGAGAAGGAGAGAAGACAGAGAAGTAGATAGAAAAGGCAGAGATAGACAGAGATAGACAGAGAAACAGTGTGGAGTATATAGAAGTATATAGAAAGAGAGAAAGAAAGGCATCCATGAAATTTCATAATTTGATACTAATTGAAAAGACCACACAACTAAGTTTCTGACTATTTATAATATGTATATCGCATCGACTATATAGCGCATCGACTAAATTCTGTGACAAGGTACTAGTAACTACGCGCGGCCGAGGTGTTTCCAATCTACGACAAAATAAACCCTCCTATGATCTATGGTTATTGTAGCCTTCAAGGTATTGGTTAATCATTTACCGTTAAGTAATATTTGCTAGGCTGACTATGTAGCTTATTAGATATTGACTAAGGGCCGGTAATGTGTCGTGCGATCGCGAGGAAGACGTGAAATTTTTCTAAACCTTGGCAAATTGCCATGCAAACTACAATCGCGAAACATTTCATTTTTCGTTGCTCATTTCGACGAAACTGTTACATCGTTCGTTGCTTCGTTCGTTCGAAGCGCTTGACACATTATCGACGCCACTACCACACTTAGATCGACGATACAATATTGAAAAAAAACACCGACCACAATACTACACTACTGTTTCACTATTCTAGTGTCCATATTGACGCTGCTCTCACAATATACGCAGATGGAAAAGTATAAGAGCGTTTATTCTAGCCATTAAAAGATACACTGATACATATTAATAGTATTAGTGATTTCGTACCTAAAGTCTCTCTACCGGGCTGGTTTTGATTACGTCAAGCACGCAACACGATTCTATATCATTTCACTGTGACATCGTTCTTTTTTTTTTCTCTTTTCTTTTTCACGTTTTTTCTCATTTTTTTTTTCATTCATCTTTTTCCCTTTGCTTTTTCATATATATATATTTTTCCCCCATCTTTTCTTTTGTTTCCTTTTTCGTATCGCTCTCTTTTGAAAATCCGTCCGAACAACAATGAAAACTTCGCATATGCTTCGGAACATTATCTCGTGTTTATTTAAATAGCATTCGTTCGACTGTCGCATAGACAGCGATATCGATTCACGTGTAACACGTAAACGGATTCGAATATTAGACACATGTTATTGTATATATATAATATTCATGTATATATATATATTTATTTATTTATATAAATATTTGTAATATGCATACTGCAACGCGTATCGTATTATTGCATTTATACTTGACAATTGTAGTGATTTCGTGTGTATATAGATATATGTTTATATATTAATAATAATAGTAATGATAATAATATAATATACGTGTACTTTCTCAGATGCAACAAATCGATTTCACGTAGAGCAGACGTTTACGTACGACATTAACAGTAATAGTCTCTTACAGTTTCGAGGAGCGTATAAAGCTCATTCCGCTCGAGTTTACGATCGAGTTGCCGCTCGATTAACATTTACGTCACATCGATAGCTTTGGCAACATGGAATCCCATTGAGTTACTCTTTCCTTGGAATTTTACGATCGTTTCTTTTAATCCTTTCTCCATGCTGGATCTTTCCCAAGAGAGAGAGAGAGAGGGAGTGAGAGAAGTAAGAGAGAGAGAGAGAGAGAGAGCGAGGGAGAATGAGCGAGCGAGTGATTCAGTGAGAAAGAGAGAGAGAGACACAGAAAACACAAAGTGTTGCAAGAAAAATTCGTCGAGGAACGCAAACACATTCGTAATTTCGTTTCATTTTTTATTATATTTCTCTTTCTTTTTTTTCCTTTCTTCTCGGATATTCTCGGTTCTTTTCTTTTTCCATCTTTCTCTTGCGTTCTTTTCTTTCCTTTCGTCTCGTTTCGTTTTCTTTCCTTTCCATTCCATTCCTTTCGTTTCGTTTCGTTTCGTTTCGTTTCGTTTCTTTCTCTCGTTTCGTTCGTACTTGCGTAGTGCGCGCCCATTAAACGTATACGGGGAAGGAAGACGCATATGTAAGATATATGTATGTATATAAATATTCTAATTGGATTCTCTGTCTAGATAATATAAAGGCGCAACGCTACGTTCCCCGTGGTGTAACAAATCAAAATCCGGCCCAACAAAGCATTACAAAGGTGTGAACAGAAAGATAAACCGCATGTTAAGATCTGGTCTACTTACGAAACTGACACTGTTGAGCCTCTCGGGCAAAGTACGTACTTTCTAGGACACACGTCTCACGCATTATTATTAAGGTAAATGATGCTATATAGCTTAGAAGAGTTAAATACTATGTAACGAGTAATAGAGGTCTTGGAGGAACAGGGGTCACGGGGTGGGGGTTGGGTGGTTGTAAGGGGTATAGGTGTAGAACGGGTATACGCACGATATATATTTAGTATATATCCTATAGAGAGGTATAATATTACGTGTAACGTAATATAAACGTACTATGTAACGTAGCTTGTTAAGTAATAGGTACATTGTAATAGGTCTCTTTGAAGCCGCTGATAATATGCATTCCTCGTGGAAGAAGCCACGTGTCTCTTTCTTGTCACCTTTTCCTTTTACGTTCGTTTATCCTTTGAAATTTTTCGTCCTTTAACGAGAGATCCACGAATTCGTCTGGCCGATTTCGTATTCATCGATGACGATGACACGGGGGTTGAGAGGGGTAAGAGTGGGCGAAAGAGATGAACACGGAGTCTTCCACGGGGAAGTACCTAGAGTATATTTCTAAACTAACGGTATCATAGTGACTTCCCAAAAAGCTATAGTTAACTAGTAGTCTCAATGATAGGAACGTATACATAGTATAGTAATTCGTCAAAAATTATATTCGCTCTAGCTAATTCAAACCTAGTTTCACCTAAAAAAGTCTCATTAAGTAACTAAGGTCTGTAACAACACAAATGTTTACCTAATTACCTAGATATATATATATATATGTATAAATAGAGAGATATATATATATAGATATGCTCCGATATGTATAATCTGTAGGTCTATTACAAAAACTAGAAGGTTGTAATGCGGCTCTCACAAAATATATCGATATCAATATCAAATACTATATGGCGTTTTACCAAATACGTAGATACAAAACAATATATAATATATGTATATAATCTGCTGTTATCTAGGTATGGATTAATACTCTTGCAATTTTCAATTTCATTTTTTTTTTTATCGTTTAATTTCCCTTTTTCTTTGTAACTTTTTTTTTTTTTTTTTTTAATAAGGTACGTATCGTATATTCATATAATTATATACGTTATATGCATACGAGCGTTCTCTATGTATATGTATATAGATTCGCGTGCGGATTTATGTACATATAGATAGCACTGACCTCGCGTCCTTTTTTTTTCACTTTATTTTTTTTTTTCACTTTTCTTTCTTTTCTTTTTTTTCCTCTATCGTACACGTGTACACCGTATTGGAGTACGTACTTCCTCATTTTTCTCGACATTATGAAATTTCATGAAATTCATTGCGAAAAATACTCTGAAAGGCGCGACGAATGAGAAATGCTTATCGCCGACCATTTGCCGCGCGCTCTCGACGCGCTATCCGCCTTCACCATTCACGATTCACGGCTTTATTTATACCACTCGACATATCATCCCGCGCAAATCAGAAATTCACCTCCTTCTGGGAATAATACACGGCGTGCCGCTACCTGGGAATGTATTCTTTCCTTTTTCATCCTTCCATAATTTTTCCTCACCTACTCGGTTCTTATACGCCTCTTTCCCATCCCTTTACCTCCGTTCCGACGAAACCCTAGCGATCTACGATCTCGACGACGGGCGTCCTCGCTCTCGAAATCGGGCGGCAGACCCTCACCTTCGCGGAGAGCGAAACAGGACCTCGACGATCCCTAAAGGTCGACTTGCAAAGATTTCGTTTCCCGTTTCGCGCCATCGTCTGATCCCTTCGCGATCGTCCATCGAACCGAATCGTCGAATCGTCGTTCCAACCACGCGAACACAGCGAGCGCTACCTTAAAGCTTCGATCGAGTTGCTACGAAATTATCTAACATCTACGAATCAATTGACGTGTCGTCGCGAACGCGAGCCGTTCGAGGCAGGAATTTGTATCTCTCTTGTTCGTCGAAATGTACCTAAATATTTGTGTGGTATCGTGACCTGATTGCCATTGACTTGCGACCTACCGCCACCCTCTCCCCCCGATCTACCGATAGTCTAAACGAAGTACGTCCGAGAAACGTGGTTCGTTGGTCGTTTGAAATTGATTGTCCTCTCTACGGTTCCTTACTTTGCTCTCGAATTTCGTTAACGACTAAATTCCTGCGGAACACGTTCGACATGAGCTACGTTCAGAGAAACGAATCGTACGAATTTACGAAGAGGAGGAGTGGCTTGCGCAAGAGGTACGTTCGATGTGTCAACTACTATACCGAGCGCTGCTCACTCGAAACTAGTTTGTCTAAAATTTGAACACTTCCTTTTATTGTCCTACTAACTCGTCTTTGCTAGCCAACTACGAAATCACTACCAGTCTTTTGCGATGCAAGTTTGTCCCGTTGGCATAATACCATCTACTCTTTGGCTACGAGGAGAACGACGCCACATGGGCGGCTAATCGAACTCTATCGAACAGACCTATGATCCACTACGACTTTATACCATTTTTCCATTATTTTTTAAATCTTCTTCTCTCACTACGATCACAGTTTTACCGAACTGAGCTTCTCGAGCAGTCTCGCGAGAATTCGCCTATTCCCACACTCGAATCACGGGAATAAAAAGGAATGCTTTCGTCTAGGCTACGTTATTGCACTTCTCGATATGTCTTCGATTCGCTGCTACGCCAAGTCAGGAAATCAACCGCGAGCTAATTTACGCTAATACTTTCCCGAAAACGAAGGCGACAAGTCCCAATCGAGGAATGTTCCAAGTACCGCAAACGGCGCGTGGTATCCCGTCAAAGGAAAACATCTCTCCTACGCAGACGTACGCGAAAATCATTTCCCGGGAATACGAACGGTAACGAAACCCAACGAAAACAAACGCAAGAATCGCGAAACAGGGACACCAACGCGTCGTTCGAACGAAAACGAACCCGAACACGACACGCCTACGCGTCCAAATTACTACGACCCTGACTTCTAGACTTCGCCCGATCCCGCGCGATACCAAAAATATACCAACTACCCTACTCTCCCAACTACCGTACCCTCGAACTCAGACTGAACCCCGAAAATCGAAGAAACGAACGAAAGCCATCGAAAAGACCGAGTAACGAAGAAACAAAAAAAGAATTGGAAAATATGGAAAACGAGTAAAGCCAAGACACGGCCCCTCGGTTAGCAGCGGGCATCCTACTGCGGCCTGGAGAGGGGCGTGAGTATCGTCGGTCATAGTCCGATCGTGGGTATCGGATGGTAGACGGCGCCCATGTCGAGGCCCTGCACGCCCAACAGGTCGCTCATGGAATAAGTGAGAGTGGCGGCCCGAGAGGCGTTAGCGTTCTGGTAGGTAGCGGCCGCGTTTGGTGCGGCGGTAGCGACTATCGGAGCGAGCAAGTGGTGGTGGGGGGTGCCGGCGGAGGCTGCTGCAGCTGCATGTGCAGCGGCGGCAGCGGCCGTCGGCAGGGGATACGGCGCGTAACGATAGGTGGTGGGGGTGGGTGTCGCGACCATCACCAACTCACCGTATGCGCCTCTGTTGGCCACTCGCGACTTCGCCAGGTTCGCCGGGAGCATCACTTCCTTCGGCTGTGCTTTCTTGCATTCGACCTTGAAATTCAACACAGACCGATCAGTGGAGTCCTGTGCAGCGCCACGCACACGCTGGCTTCCGGTATTTCGGGGGTGGTATCGTGGAGGCGTGTACTCGGGGACTTGGGACCGTGTCAACTGTTGTTTCGTGTTGCTCGAATGGCTCCTGACACGTTCGCTGCCACCGAGACTAGCGGAGGTTTACTCGTCGTAGGCGAAGACGCTATTCCGTCGTTCGTCCTTGCGAGTCTTTGCCCCGAGAGGGAGAAAAACGGAAAGACGTCTATTGCGTCGGTAGCAGCGAATGTGTCAAAGGTACCTCTCCGGTGGTATTCGAGAATCGTGTCAGTCGTTACTGTTACTGCGAATACGAGTCTCTGTTTTCGGTAAAGAAAAGTGTGTTGGGGATGTAGACGTCGGGGTGGTTGCGGGTGTAGGAAGGGAAGAGATCGATTTTAAGGGGGTGAATCGAAGTCAGTCGGCGTGTAAGGTCTATATCTAAATGAAGTATTTGGAATAGAACGGTATCCGATAGTCGGTCTCGAATTTATTCTAAAGAGAGACTACTTGACAAGACAGGGTGCAAAATCTAAAATGCGCTAAATATGGAAAGTTGAACGGTAACGATCTCGTTCTTCTCGTAAGGAGAAGTAGTTGCAGCGAATATCCTGTTAATGCGAATACCCGCGACTCAAGTTCGGATCTTCCATTCAAGCAACAAACGAAGTTACGACGATTCGTTCGGTCGCGTTACACCCTCGTTACGTATACGTGTACTCGTGCCCGTGCTTTGATGCGCGCAATCAAGGGTAATCCGACGACATCTAATCAACGTGATCTATCACTCTAATATTATCATTCCAAATAGAGACGACTGTTTTATACCGGCTAATGCCAGACGTTGGTGCTGCTGGGTTATTGACGGAATTGGGATCGTCTGGGCCGCATGGATATATGGGTAACGAGAAGTGGCATCCCGCTAAATCCTTGATCGACGTCAGCGGAATTTCGTTGGTAGTAGACGACAAACAGAACTGTCTATTACCGTAGGACCCGTGTGATCTCTACTATGACGGGCTTTCGAGAAACCGCTTTTCGTCTTCCAGCGTATGATCCACACGCTCGTTCGTGGTCGCGAACGCGCGTGTGTCACTGTACGTGTGTGTGTGTCTGTGTGTGTATGTGTGTACGAGTCGCGTGCGTGCGTGTCAAATGCAAATAACCACGGCAGCCCTTCTCAATTATACGGAAAATTAATTCCGCTCGACGCCGTATCCGCAGACGAAGAGCGGAAGGCAAATACCGTTTGATACCACCTCTGCGGCCACGTGGCGGGGCGAGGAAGAGGAAGAGAGAGAGAGAGAGAGAGAGAGAAAGAGAGGGTGCTCTCTTCGTTCGACAAACAGGCATTGTTGGCCGACCGGGGACTCACCATTTTGTTGTTGATTTCGTGGAAATGAATCTCGCAGACTTTGTCGACCACGTCCTCGCTTTGAAACGTGACGAAGCCAAAGCCTGGAACAGAAAGAACAGGTGTCGGTTAATAATCGACGATGAAAGGTGCTCAGCTCGTTGCCAAGCCAATCACGATCGCAGTTAATTACAAAAATTTTAATAAATTGCCCCTTCTCGTTAAAATTCGCTGAATTTCGCTGAAATTCCCTTTGCCCTCGTGCTATTCGCGTTCGATATCCACGTTCCTCTCGCGAAGTAACGTCTAGCAAAATTTGTACCACCCTTTTCGGCACGGAGCAGTGCTTCTCGCGAATTATCAGATAGGGCGCGAATCTCGAACGCTTTAAATACGCGGCACGATTCCGGCGAACGCCCTTTCTTCGTCGTAATTCGTCTCGCTTAAAAACCACCCCGAGTTAACGTTAACTCCCACGCGTTCCCGCCGCGAAGATAACCATCCCGTCGGATCTTCCATTAATTCACCGAAGTCGGGCGAGTTTTGTTTCCTTTGCAACCCCTTCGCGTCCCGGCACCCGTTCCACTCGAACGCGGTCCAAGCATTTCTGCTCGAAATTTATTTCGCCCGAGTACGAACGGGGGTTGGAGAGTGGGTCGCGGACCACGGTGTGGGCGCTGACGAAACGTAGGGTGCGGGAACGAAGAAGAAGAAGAAGAAGAAGAAGAAGAAGAAGAAGAAGAAGAAGGAGAAGGCAGAGAGACAGAGAACGATGAGCCGGCGAAGAGTCATAACTTAATCAAGCATCAAGGGTTATTAAAAACTTTGCATTGGTCTCCAGGTGATTTTAATCTCGCCCCTTCGCGTCTCGCTGACTTTCTCCGCTCTCTCTCTCTCTCCCTGCAGCCCTCATCCTTACGCGGCAAGCGTAGTAATTCAGGCTCGAGTTATCCGGCGAGCGCGAGTTATACGAATCCAGTGCGCGATGTCGCTTAAGATAACCAGGAGTTAGTGCTTCCGCGCTGAAGCAGTCTGGGAGAAGAGGCGAAACTACGCCGGGTGACTCGTAATTAAACACAGCCGATGGATACCGGAGCCGAATGCGAGCCGACAGCTCGCGATTCTTCGAGCGTTCTCTTCTCTCTCTTAAATTTTACACCGGAAATGGAACGGGCGCGCTGAATTAAATTACGTTAGAGTGCGCGCCGTGGACGTCGCAGACATCGACGCCCAGCGCCACCCTCGTCCGCCCTCGTCCCGGCTTGTTCGAGTAATTAACATCGATCGATCTTCATTCGCGTCCTTATTTATTTACCCGGATTAATACGCGAGCCGAGATCGGGCCACCGCCAACGGCAAGATCAAAGTTCGCCCGGTAACGAGAGTAATACACGGGATTACTTTTATTCCGGTACCGGTCGGGACACTAATGCACGGGAAACTTCGACCGGAAATTATTTGATTTTCCATGGAGAGTGGTTTCGCGTGGAATAAAGGGAATATAAAGCAGCGAAATCGACGAACGCGTTATTCGCAAGGAGCACGAGAGCTTATATGGCGGGTAAGATGATTCGGTAACGCGTAACGTTTCGCGGAGGAACGATAAAATCCCTCGAAATTCTTTTAACACAGGGGCTACGCCTCTCTCTCTCTCTCTCTCTCTCTCTCTCTCTCTCTGTGTGTGTAATCTTTTAATAAAACGCTTTTAACGATTTATCCGCGCAACTTGCTCCTTTAGTACCAGCAACTGGAGGTAGTCCTAAAATCCGCCTCTTTATAATTCATTGATTTTACGGTCACCCACTTTAATCGCCTTTCTAAACTTAACAGACTATATTCGGGCTAAGGTACACGTTACGTTTAATATCGTATATCGTGCAAGATTAACTGACCTACAAGCAATAGGGTAACGATACCGATAAAATGCCCAAGTGCTATATGATAAATTTAATATCCCGTACTCGGCCCGACGCGCGTATCACGGGCGAATTAACGGACTTCCGGATGGAAGCGACATCGAACGGAATTTTCCAACTCCACCGCGTCTTCCTCCTCGATCGGACTCTCCGCCCTCCGTTCACTTTCTTTCCCCCCGGAATTTTCGCCGACCCCCGTCCCTCCCACTGGCATCGCTTTCGTCTGCAACTTACACTACCGGTCCCTCGACCTTTAAGCTCCTCCGCCGGCATGAAAAGCACGAGTGATTAAGTTATAAACTTGGCAAGACGTCCGTTTGAGCGAGGAAGGGGCTTACTTCATTTATGTAATTTATAGTACTCTGCCAGTCAGCTAACTCCACGGAGTCTGAGCACTCTCTCTCCGGCACAAAGGCCGTGTGCCCTGACACCGGTAACATTTAACTGCTTCCTGTTGGAGTCTACCGAGCGTGCACACAGCGTCCGGACACAAGGACCAGGCCAGAGGTATTCACAGGCCCCCGATATTATTCGTCTTTTAAAGCGTGCTCTAATATCCTGCAGGATATTACAAAGTCGTCTTCCTTTAAGAGGTATTAAAAAGTTATGACAGACTGTTCACGCTGAGCCCACGTCCTTCGCTCGCTTTTCGCCGGGAATAAAGTCCACGGTATGCAGCCGGCGATACGACGTACGCGAAATATCGCGTGAATTTATAATAGCACCGACGTCGTGTAAAATACCGCTTCGGCCGTGCGTGTACGAAATTACGTCGTTTCGTACATTCCAGCCCCGCGTTGAACGGCTCCACGGTGTTCGTTAACGAGCCGAGACGCGCGTACATCCTGTGTCACCTGTGAGACCATGCTGCTACGGATTCACGGATTCACTCCGAAGGTTCGAAAGGATCGAACGTGGACCATCGTATGGCCCCACAGTGGAGGGTTTAATCGAAGAATTGTCGGAGACGAATGCACTTGGCGCCTCGTGAATCGCGATGCTTTACGAGGTCGAAAATATTTTACTTTACGCGCCGAGGAATATCGTCGTTGGAGGATACCGACACGACCGAACGTTTACTTTTACCGCCGATAAAACGGAGGTTACGCGTTTTTAGAAGGCTCGACCGTTGGACGGGGACAGCACGGGGACAGAGGGTAGAGGGTGGAAGGTCAGCGCGGTCAGCGGTCTGCGAGCGGTGCAATAAATTTCGAGAGAAAAACCTGGCCCCCGAGTTCGAATTTTCATAAGGGATTTATTTCCATGGTCCAATCGTGGGGTCTCGAGAAGCTCCATTCTCGCGTGGAGGAGGTAGCCGGCCGCCAACCACCCCCATGGGGGTTGGGGCGACGGCCGAGAGGAAAAAGTGCGTGCTCAGCTGTCCAACCCCTCGTTGGACGCCAGATGCGCTCATTTCAATAAAAAACACACCCCGAAATATCCTTTACTCCTCCCCGTAGTGCTTCCCGCGCCCTCTTATCCTCTTACCTCCCGAGAGTTCCTTAAATGATCCATAAACGGTCCCGCCGGTGTGAAATTACCGTAGAGTCATGCCGGTTATCTGACTATTTTCCGCTACCTTTCCGACCCGTAGAATTATGGCCGACTTTATCAGTCGGAGGCAGCGAGTCGAATGAAAATATGTTTTCGGCAACGGTGCTTTTTCGCAGATTTAGTTTTCCAAAGGGATGCTAACTCTTCTCTCCTATATATCGAGCTTGCCCGGTGGATGACGAATTTCTCTGGACTATGAATTTATGGGGAATAATATTCCAGTTTACCGGTGTAAACGGCCCCGATATTTTTTCGCTCATTCTCCCCCCGATACAACGAGTAACAGAGTATGAAAGATATTCGCAGGGGGACACGAACGAGGAAATTATTTTGCAAAAGTTTCCGTAGAATATAGTGGCTGGAACACGAGGAAACGATACATCGTGAAAACGACGTATCCAATCTCGGCGACGAAGTTGGACAAGTATTAGCGGCTTTCATTCTAGGGTTAAATTCTCTTGACGAGAGGAAAAATGGAGCTTGATGGCTCCAAGTGGCAGGCGTTGACGGAAGAGAGCAATTCTTCCCTGTTCCGCGACCATCGTCGTCCTAGGTCCGTCTTCGTCTTTCCACCCGTCTTCAGCGTCCTCCGTCTCTCTCGTTCCCTTGTCTTCTCCCCTTTTCTACCCTCGTCCTCTCCGCCCCTCGACTCTCGAGCATAATGCGACCCCGCCATTGTACCAGTGGCCATGTTAACGTTTAAAAGCCACGCTGCTGTTAAGCGCGTTTCAGAATTTTACCGTCTATTGAGAATGGTAAAAGGTTTCTTTCAAAAGGCTCGGCTGGCAGAACGATTTGAAACTTGTAAATGGATACGGCTCAAACCTTCGCTACTTCCACCCGTTCCATTTCTATCCTTCTCCCTCTCCCCGTCTTCCTTTAACGTCCTACCTGTTAGGTGGCCGACTTCTCCCCGCGTTTGTTTGCTTCTGTTAACGCGATCGTCGCGGAATATCGCGAAATATCTCGGAATAACATAAAACAACACAAAATAACGCGGAATAACGCGGCATCCGTGAATTTCACCAGTCACCAAGCTCCCCGACACACAGGCAACGATGGACTTTGACGTCGAACGTTCGCAGTGCCGAGTGCCTGTGCGGTCGTTAAATTCCTAATTGCAGCGAATTTATAACCGTCCAATTAGACTCGGCTACGCGGCAGAAGGCCGTAATCCGTTTCGCGATCATCTTTCAGAAGAACTCTCGCGGGAAGTCGGGCCGAACGGTATTTGTAACGATACGGTGCTTCTTTATGGAGCAAGTTTCCGCGACTCGCTGCCTCCTTTTTTCCTTCCTATTTCATCCATCCCGATGTACTTATTCCGCGGGTGCAGCGAGGACGAATTTTAATTCGGTTCACGATGTATTTGTAACGATACGGTGCTTCTTTATGGAGCAAGTTTCCGCGACTCGCTGCCTCCTTTTTTTCCTTCCTATTTCATCCATCCCGATATACTTATTTCGCGGGTGCAGCGAGGACGAATTTTAATTCGGTTCACGGCTGAACGGAGGAATTATTTAGGTTTATTTTAGCTTCATTTAGCCGGCGAATCTAATTAGCAAAGCCGCGACTGGGCGCTGAGGCACGAGGTAAGGCGAAATCGGTGAATTACACGCGAACGCGGGAAACCT